GGGCCGGCCCTGCCTGCCTCACTGCAGTCCCGCTGCCACAGCGGCTCCGCGCTCCGCAGCACTCCCTGCCCGCCTTGCTGCGCTCCCTCCGCGCTCTCTGCCTGCATCGCCGCCGTGGCTCTGCTCCCCACAGCACTCCCTGCCGGCCTCACCGCACTCCCTCCGCGTTCTCTGCCTGCCTTGCCGCTGTGGCTCTGCACTCCGCAGCGCTCCCTGCCCACCTCGCCGCACTCCCTCTGCGCTCCCTGCCTGCCTCGCCACCGCCGCCGGCTCCGCAATGCCGCCGGCTCCGTGCTCCGTGGCACCACCACCACGGGCCAGATAAAATGTAAATCAACGTGTAAATGCTGTGCTTGGGAGCAATACACTCCGGCACAAACTGAACCGCAGTTTATTCAGGTGCACTAATTGCATGTGTAGATGTGGCCCCTGTCACTCAGATGAGCAGCAGGAGGGGCAACGGGAAGCAGGCAGGGAGCAATGTTTCCTGTGCTGGGGAGTGCTGCTCCCTGCCTGCTACCCTTTGCCCCATGCTGTTCAGCTGGGCATCGGGGGTGGTGATGTAAAAGCTGGAGAGGCCTGGAATCCAGCTTACGGAGCTTTTCCACCATGGCATAATGTACCTGTCTTGCTCAGAGATGGAATAGCAGAGTGAGAAGCAGGTGTGAAACAGCTGCAGCCTGCTCTTCCCCTCCCCTATGGGCTAGAGGGAGAGAAGCTTCCCCCTGCATCTTTTGCAGACTGGTGATCCTGGTCTTGGGAAGACATGGAAGCCTTTCACCTGGCTCCACTTCCTCTGATCCCGGGAAGAGTTAAGACAGAGAAAAGTGTGCAGACGTTCAGGGTGTTTTTACATGTGCTCAGGCGGCTCCAAGAGCTGCTCTAATTAAAGCACCCATAAGCATCTTGTGTATCAGTGTCCATGCATGTCCAAATGGCGGTGGGGGTGCTTTAACTAAAGCTTGTCTGATGAGCCTTAGTTAAAGCCCTGCTCCCAGCCATTTGGAAATGTGAGGACACTGATACACGAGATGTGGAGGCTGCTGCAGGCGCACTAATTAGCATGCTCCAGCAGACTTGATTATTTGAGTCTACTCCGATGTGCAGGTTGGAGCAGATGCCTCACACATCTACAGACTCTCTCAGTCTCTCAGAAGCAACCTAACCCTGGTTGCTTCTGAGTCATTTTTTTCCCCCAGACTGGCCATTTTTTGCTTCAGGAAAAAAAGCTTGAAAGTCTGCACACTTAGGATTTTTAGTAGGAAACAGTAACAGAAATTGAACATCTGTATGTGCCTTCAGATAACTAAAGGAGATGTACAGGAAATAGTTTGACCTAATAACTGTATGAAGGTAAAGAAAACATCTGATTGTCATGATGTCATTGAACCTGATTGTTCAATATACAGTAGTAGTTAAAAATGCAGGTAGTATACAACAATGTTGCCAGTAGTATACAACATTGAAACTACAATATACACTAGTAGTTGCAATGTTAGGATGCAAAAGGGACAGGATGGAGAATACAGAAATGATTATACTGCCATTATATAAATGTTACATTTTTATTTGGACTATTCTGTTTAGTTCTGATCAAAAGCATTTTATAAAGAAAGTAGAAAAATCGAAGGATTTTGGAGCAGGGGACAAGAATAATCAGCATGCATAAAATCTCTTATATGAAAAGTGACAAGACTAGAACTATTTCTTTTAATGAAGAGATGAATAAGAGATGACATAAAAATAAATGGAAATAAATTAAGTTCCGAATGTATACTGGAACTTTCCCTCACTATTTCTGGTGACAAGAAATATTCAATGGACTTGGGAAGTAGCAAATTCTAGACTAGTAAAAATAGTAAATGCTTTTCCAGTCACCCTGCAGATCTTGTCAGGTATCACTGAACCAAGAGCCTATCAGGATTCAAGGGGGTCACACTTTTATTTGAACAATAAAAATAGTTATAATCGTAAATATAAGTAAAAATAAAAATACTCTGAAGAGATTTTGAAGGTATAATAAAAACCCTTAAATAAACCTGTAATTATGGGGCATTATGAAGAATTTTTTTCCAAAAACAGATGTAGTTAAGTAGTTGCTACATGGCAAGCCTACACGTGCTATTAAGGTTATAACAGTAAAATGCTAAACAGTAAGCCTTCCCTGAGAGCATGTCTACACATGTTCCTTGTTGGGAGCAAATCTGCTCCCAATAGAATCAGCCCAGTAGGTGGCTGCTCCGATTGGGAGCAGATTTGCTGGGAGCAGGGTGGGCTGTTCCTACCCTGGTCTGGCAACCAGGGAGAGCTCTAGGCTCCCCCTAGGTGCTAGCCCAGGGGCTGACGGGGATCACAGGGCTGGTCCCCATGCGCAGGGAGCCAGGAGACCTCTGCCAGGTTCAATGGTAGCTGTCTCCTTGCCACATACACATGGGGAAGGGTCCAGATGTGCACAGGGCTAGGAGATAGCTGCCACTGCAGAACTCTCCTGGCCCCATGCAAATAGGGATAAGCCCCATAACTAGTAGAGCTTCCCTGTGCAGCCCACGGCTGGCCAAGAGCTCTCCTGCTTCTGGGGCAGTTCCTAGTCAGCTCCGGACTGTGAGGATTTCCCCGAGCAGCCAGGAACTGGTCAAGAGCTATCCCCCTTGTGGGGCAGCTCCCAGCCTGCTCAGGGCTGTATACGGATTTACCTGAGCAGCTCAAAGTTGGTCAGGAACTGTCCCTTCTAGGGCAGCTCCCAGTCAGTCCAGGCTGCACGCAGATTTCCCCAAGCAGCCTGAGGCTGGTCAAGATCTGTTCTTTTTGGGGCAGCTCCCAGCCAGCTCCGAGCTGCGCAAATTTCCTTGAGCAGCCCAGGGCTAACTGGGAACTGTCCCCACATAGCCTGGGGCTAGCTGGAAACTGTTCCCCTTCTCAGGCAGCTCCAAACTGCATGGGGATTTCCTCAAGCAACCCGGGGCTGGCCAGATGCAGGAACTGTCCCTTCTGGGGAAACCCCTTCTGCCCCCCACCCCGCCCAGTCCCAGTGCTGCTCAGCAGCACTAGGACTCTGGAGCTCCCTGCTTTCCCACACAGCCAGGGGCTGACCAAGAGCTGTCTGCCTTCTGGGGCAGCTCCCAGCCAGCTCCAGGGTGCACGTGAAATTCCCCAAACAGCCCAGGGCTGACTGGGAACTGTTCCTCATCTGGGGCAGCCTTAACTACATAGTCTCTTGGTGAACTTATTTTGAAGACAGGAAAAGTCAGCTACACCACTGAGAGATAAATTTCTGCCAAGAGAAGCTTTGCACCTATCTGTATAACCTGGGGGGCGAAGGGAGGTGGGGAGAGGAGTATACAAATTCTTGGATGCTGATGACCCAGTATTATGCTTCCAGCAGACTAACTCATCTCCCAGATGTGTGCTTTTAATTATGAAAGCTTGCTATGTCAGGTTTGTATCAGACCTCAACATTTTATGTTGATCTTAAGAGAACTTTCTGGTTCTTTTGAATGAATTAGCTGTAGAATATCATTGACATAATTATAGTAGTACATGGAAACATATCATTAGCATAAGCAATTATCTCATTTATCAACTTAATCAAGCCGTGTTATGTTTTATAATTCCTGACTGATAGCTCAGGTTTCAACATACATTTTTTATTTAAAATAGAGTAGCAAGTATGTTTTTTATATTATAGATATTGCACACTAATTTAATGATGTGTTAAGGGAACAATTTTTTGTTTTGAATTACCTATGAGTTAAGCAAAATTTTCTCCTGAAACATCATTTTGCAATTCAATGCCTTTCTGAGAACTAAACACTGAAATGTAGTAATTAAAAGTGTAATAATAAACAAACTTAGATAACCAGCCTGTATGATTAAAAATAATAAGATATAAACTACTCACTGTGCAAAAGTTAACAATTATATTATAAATAATTATAATACATCTAATGTATTGCTATTCAAAGGAATACATTTTCTTGCATACAAAAAAAACTCTGGTTCCCAATTAACTCAAAGGGAAAATTCCATTTTACTTAAAATGAGAGAAGCTTGGGACCTACATTTCAACATAATGAACAGCATACTCATAGTATTTCTTAATGACAAATTAATAGTTATTTGACAAGTACTGTATAATTCCAGTTATCAAGGCAATGCATGTTCTGGAGAAATCAAAATCTAAAAGTCATTCAAGATCAGGTAAAAGGAATTAGCTTATGTATTTTCCCCTTCCATTTGTGTTTTAAAAAAAAAAGTGATATGTGAGACCTCTAGTCTTACTTTCTCTCTGATTTTCAGATCTGATTGGCATTCCTTTAAAAAAATCCTGATAATAAACTCAGGAACTGATGATAAACAATACAGAACTCTAATGAAGCTTATCAACTTAAGATATTATTTCAAAAATGCTTTTCTGTTTGACATATTTCTGTTTGAAACATACACTAGATCAGGATAATGTCATGCTATATATGTTTAAAACCAACAGTGCCCATACTTTCAGCCTCACAGGCCAAACAAGTGACACTGGTTTGGTCTGTGAGTCCCATCCTATGTGGGGCCATTTTGCAAGTGTGATCCAGTGCACCAGCCTGACCTCACATGCCTGATCCAGCCACACGCTGGCCCAAACCCCAATACCCAAATCTCATAGCAGAGCAGTGGTGCAATTTAGTGAATAGGCCAAGTTATCCAACCCATGGTGCTCCACAGTTCTGGAAATTTGAGAGCAGGGGAGCAGCAATTAATGCTGCCACTGCCCTCTTGCCACCACATTTCTGGATCCACAGGGAGCCCCAAGGGCTGGATGACACAGCTCTGTTAGCCTGATCTGGCCTGCAGGTTGGAGGCTGAACACCACTGCTTTAAACAAAGCATTATTTCTAAATTTCATCCAATATTCAAGAGTAAAATACAGATACTTACCTAAAACATCGAGTCCAAGCGTTTTTGCTAGGTCTCTTACACCATCTGTGCCAAAAATATGGGTCTCGTGCTTACATTTTGGACACTGGAAAACACTCATATTTTGGACAAGTCCCAAAACCTGTTAAAAAAAATGTTCAGATTCTGGAGTCTGTATCAACTGATACTTTATCTTATCTGAAATGAAAGAATGCCTTGAGCAAAATATCTAAAAAACATTTGTTTAAAATTCATATTAAACAGACTTAGTCTTACTATGATGCCTAGATTACTGGATCATCAACTAATAACTTCATTACCCTTCTATTTGATCTCCATTTTTTAAATAATTATGCATGACTAATTTCACACATTTTCCATTTATTGTAGGATCGCTGCCTTTCAGATCAAGATTATCAAACTTATTATTTGCAGAACATTTCTAAGCAAAGTTCCAAATTATAATTCTTAACTTCTAGTCATCATTTCATGACATCTCAGTGAAAGGTTTATTATATGATATAACTTTTAACATTGGAGGTTTACTGTGTTGTTTTATAGTCTTATAGTTTCCAGTTTCATGTCCCAAGCCATATAAATAAAACATACCATTACAAGAGGTGTCACCATTAGACCTAATTTTTAAAAGACTTTTATCTAGCTTCACCTCAGGGAAATGTCTTCAAAACAAGAACCCAGATTTGCTATTCTCTCTGAAGAGCAGAGAGACATTTAAAGATCAAACAACAGAAATAATTATGAGAGAAAAAGGGGCAAAAACAGAAGGATAAAAATCTAATATATGCATATTAGGTGTCTTTTTTTCAGCTATTGAACTCTGGAAAGTTTGCCAGATTGTATCTACCCTTCGTGCTTTAGAGTAATGGTTATAATATAACTAATAGTCAATTATTCTGTCATATAAAGCTGTGTGTTGGGATGAGTTGAATTTTGCAAAACCATTAGAAACAAGAAATTATAAACAAACGATGCATTTTAAAAGCTCTTGTGATTTATTTATGAATCAATAAAAATCTATATAAATACCACTTCCTGTTAGGCAGTCTAGTGTTATTTATTGTCTATTTAAATAAAACATATAAACATAGTTACATGTTCCATAGTCAACATTTACAAATCTGGGAGTGAAGTTTTCAAGGTACACAAGGCAACTGTAAGCCTAACTGCCCTTTCTGCCTTTAAAAACTTCCCCTTAATAGTCTAAAGCTTGTTACGTAAAATGGCCTGTTTTTCAGAAGTGGCATGAATCCAAATTCCACTGATGTTAATGAGAGCTGTGTTTAGAAAACTTATAAAAAGTTCCCATTTTTGGCAACTAAGACAGGTGAAAATATATTTTTACTTCAGCAGCACGTAAAAGAAGTACCTCTGGTATAGTTGAATGCAACTGACTTGAATAAGAAAAAGAAATAGTTTTGGTGTTCTGGCTCTTCTATATTTTCATTTGGTATTCAATACTACCATCTGAGAAGTGCAGGTTTACTTATTTACAGCTTTCAGGGAACTGAAATCAGGACAGGTTTTCACACACGCCTCTGGAGTGAAAGGCGAGATCATTTTGCAGTGGGAGCATGGGAGAGGACAAGAGAGCACTTTGTATACTCTGTAAACCCAGCGGTAAGTGCTCTATTAATGGACTCTGATGTAAGTTCCATCAAGTCCCGCTTAATTTGTGACATGGAAATAAATCAAAGGAGCATCCTTTGGCATTTCCCATGGGGAAAGGGTGTTTTAATTAAGATACTCCACACATGATAAAAAAGAAAACTTAAATTTGTATCACAATGAACTCACTCCTCTTTAGATACCTTGATTTTTAAACTTTAGTATTTTCCCTTAAAGTAACTGCATGTATTTTTAAAAAAGAAAATTAATGATTGTAGAAAAGCGATATAGTCATATGTTGTTTTGTAAACAGTGTAAACATTTATAAACTGCTTGTAAAAACTATTTTCTTAGTCCTTTGATAACAAGACGATCAGAAAAATTATTTGGGCCACAGTTTTATTAACACAAGACTGTGGAGATGTAGCTGGATCCTCTATAATAAATCATACTTTCTTAATTTCTTATTTACATTAATTTCTGATTTTCCTTCAACTAGTCTTACTGAAAGTAAATGGCACAGCAGTATTACAGACCCATTCTTACATTCCTTCTGCATTGTTCTCACCTATTATCTATCTAGAAGTAGACTTTTATTAACGTATAAATGACTCTCCATCTGTGTGCAGTATTTCATGAAAACCATTAAACTCATTTTCAATTTTCTGCCTCAGTTGGTATTCCTCCATGTCCAAACTGATGAGATTATTAATTAAGCTATTATTATTATTATCCTTAGGAGAAATCACAAAGATGTTTGTTTGAGTTACCATGTGCGTCAATGTAAATACTATTGTGGGTTAAAAATTCCCTCTTGCTAAAATTTGTTTTTCAAAGTACTAATCTATGGTGAACAAATTCTGTAAATTTTGAAACAATATTAATAATAAATTTGAACAGTCTCAGCCCAAAACATAGTCTTTAAAATAGTGTCCTTTTTTTGCACTTAAAAGTCAGATGTTTTTCTAACAAATCAAGTTAGTTCGCTAGTTTATATTTTGCAGTAATCAACATAACTATTAAATTAAAACTATCACAATAAGTATCAGCCCTAAGCAAGCAAATTATAAGCAAACAGGTTTTAGCATTAAAATGTATGTGTTAATATGCATTAGTCTTTTTGTTTGGCAATCCCTTGCAGTCAAGAATGACTGGTCTTCCATGATTGTCTTATCTGTGTGTCCGAAGATGGCTGATGAGACCTATCTGGGATCGACAGACTCTACTGCAGCTTAGACATGCATTTCCATGTGGGCTGGGTGGTGCAGGATTCTTGATTTGGTCTGCAACATGCTGTTTCTACCACTCCCACTTTATTTTCTCCTATTGTTGTCGTGAGGTTTCAAAGTACTAGGATCCCAACACCAGACCCTTTCTCCATTTGGGGTGGTCCTAGGTGACAGTGTCCTAGGAGCTGACATCAATGTTGTATTTTTTTAAGTTGGCCTTGAGAAAGTCCCTGAAGCGCTTTCTCTGCTCTCTCCTTTTGTGTACACCTTGGCTGAGCTGAGAGAATAAATCTTGCTTCGGGAGTCTAAAGTCAGACATCCAGATAACACGGCCGGTCCAACGAAGTTGATGTTGGATGATCATCACCTCAGTACTCATGGTGGTTGCTTGCAGGAGGATGCTAATGTTACTGTACCTGTCTTACCACTGGATCTGGAGGATCTTCCACATGCAGAGTTGATGGTACTTCTCTAACAACTTTAGATGTCTCCAGTACATTGTTCATGTCTCAGCTCTGTACAGCAAGGCGGGGATCACAACTGCTTAGTAAACCATGTGCTTTGTTAGGAAGACACCTGTATATCAGGGCAGCGGGAAGGTTCGGTCTCCGATTTGATTCAGTGGAGATTCGGCCCGATTCAGTGGCCAAATCTCCAAATCTGAATCAAATCAGGATACCCTTTAATGCCTCCAAATCAAATCAGAATCGTCTGAACTGATTTGGAGAGATTTGGAAAGATTCAGCGATTTGGCTATAGACACAGCTTTAAATGTTTTTTCTACATACCTCAAGGTACCAGGCAGCTCATGAATGCTGCAATCGTGGGCCAGATGGAATGTCCCACAGGAGTGCAGGGGGCTCCCCAGCACGCTTGGTAGCAGACTCGGAAGTGGACCAGAAGAACTTCGGGTCCACTTCCAGGTCCTCTGGGGAGCACACAGGGCTCCCCCCCCCGCACTCTCCCAGCTTAGCGACTGGTGCCTCCTGGGTCTGGAAGGGTACCTGGGGTCCCACCACGGCTGATCGCTGAGCCAGGGGGCGCAGGGGGGTCCCCTGAGCACTCGGTGGCAGACCTTGGGTTCACTGCCAAGCACATGGGGGGCCCCCTGTGTTCCTGTGGCCCCCCCCCCCCCCCCCCCCCCCCC